TTTTCAAAAAGGTGTGCAAAACACCCAAAATCCATCAAGACTATGGGCTATATTCCATGCTTTTTGGTCAAAATAGGCCAAAAATAAACCCTGTTACAAAATAAGATAACTTTTAAGGGAAGTCAAAAAACACCCAAAATCCATCTAAACCATGRGCTGTAGTCCATGCTTTTTGGTCAAAATAGGCCGGAAAGGAAGCCTTTTCCAAAATCAGATAATTTTTAAGGGAAGTCAAAAAACACCCAAAATCGCTCAAAACCATGGGCTATAGACCATGCTTTTTGGCCAAAAATGACCCATTTTTTCAAGTTTCATGATTTTTTCATTCTTTTCAAAAAGGTGTGAAAACCACCCAAAATCCATCAAAACCATGGGCTATAGACCATGCTTTTTGGCCAAAAAGACCCATTTTTCAAGTTTCATGATATTTTCATTCTTTTCAAAAAGGTGTGCAAAACACCCAAAATCCATCAACACCATGGGCTATAGTCCATGCTTTTTGGTCAAAATAGGCCGGAAATGAAGTCTTTTCCGAAATCAGATAATTTTTAAGGCAAGTCAAAAAACACACAAAATCCATTAAAACCATGGGCTATAGTCCATGCTTTTTCACCAAAAAGACCCATTTTTCAAGTTTCATGATTTTTTCATTCTTTTCAAACAGGTGTGAAAAACACTCAAAATCCATCAAAACTATGGGCTATAGTCCATGCTTTTTGGTCAAAATAGGCCGGAAATGAAGCCTTTTCCAAATCAGGTAATTTTTAAGGGAAGTCGAAAAACACCCAAAATCCATCAAAACCATGGGCTATAGTCCATGCTTTTTGGTCAAAATAGGCCAAAAATCAACCTTTTCCAAAATCAGATAATTTTTAAGGCAAGTCAAAAAACACCCAAAGTCCATCAAAACCATGGGCTATAGTCCATGCTTTTTGGTCAAAATAGACCGGAAATGAAGCTTTTTCCAAAATCAGATAATTTTTAAGGGGAGTCAAAAAACACCCAAAATCCATCAAAACCATGGACTTTCCATGCTTTTCGGTCAAAATAGGCCAAAAATCAACCTTTTTCCAAAATAAGATAATTCTTAAGGGAAGT